GTAGTTTCAACTTACAATTACAAAAAATAACACGTGGTTATAATATATTACAGTGCGGCGGTGAAAACACATGCCAACGTATATTACCTATACTCTGTTCAAAATAAGATGATGAGCAGGTGGCCGAGTTGTGCATGGGCCTGACTGTTCCGTGGCAGCGCCCGACATGCTGCTGTAGTAAGGACGGCATCTGACCGTCCAGGAACGAAAACAGGTCGCTGCCTGGTCATCATCTTATTTTGAATAGAGTATACGGTCTACGATAAGCAAAGGCGCAGGCAACGGCGGGAACCGCCGCCCAGTGTACGACGTATACGTATACGGCATGGAAGGTGGGGGCAAACGGTCTCTTGCGCTGCAACGTCGAACGTTACACCTAAAACCATCGAGCACAATATCTTTTTGCCTTAAAAATACTTAACTTTTTTGCCAATATATTCGGTATTATTCAACCAATGTTTTAAAAAATGACAAAGGGAATCTATTGATACCACAAACGAACCAATCTGTCCATTTATTAGTTCTGTAGGCCTGGCTAAAGAATATGGGCAAACTCTGGCTCGCGCGATGTACTACGGTCGTGACCGCTCAGCTTTTATTTTTTTATTTAGCCTCGCGCCCTCTACCATTGCGATGGATACTATGAGCATAAAACAATATGGTGGATTGCGGACCCCGCTTAGTGCTTACTCTATTTGAATAATATTATTTTTTTATTTTTACAAGTCAATGAGCACAACTCAGCTACCTTGGTAGGCAATATACGAAAATTCCATTTGATGCTTGCTTATTACCAGCTGATCTGCCCGATTAACCAACGGCAACCAATAAACAAAAAAATGATACTTATTTATAATAAATATATTTATATTTCTTCTATAACCAATATCATCCATTTATAAACGAATAATTAATAATATTATTCAGTATTATTAATTGTAAATAAATTTAAAAATAACTTTTTATTACTGCAATATTATTGCGGTTATAAAAGGTTAGTCATTAGATTATTTTACATTAAATTTACTAGGTAATATACTAAGTACTAAGTATTTGTTATAATTACAACGATTTATTTTTTTATATGTATAAAAAATACAGTAGTGTGAGTAAAGTTGTACTTTTATTAAACTATTATATGTATTATAATTATATAATCTTTATTGAACTTATTCAATTAAAAATGACACCTATTATTTTAATAATAAAAAAACTATTTTAATTATCATGAACCCCTAGTAAAATTACCTTTTCTTCTACTGATAGAAGTATTGTGGACTCTAAATTTACCTCTTTTATTTGTAGTCGATGCAAATGCGTTAAGAGGACGTGTGAATACAATTTAAAAATTGTTGATTGATTTTCATATTTTTTAAATTTTTTGCCAATTTTTGAAGAACGAGGGTTGGCAAAACTGGTACCATTTTTTGTAACCTTAACTATTTGGTACAAGTCCCTGCAATTAACTCTGTATTGTTTAATAATTAAAATACATTGTTTTTTCTATGTACATTAGTAATATTATAATCTGATTTTAACTTTTAATTGTATGGCATTAAACATTGGTAAAATTATGAATTTTACTTCTTGAAACAGTCTCATTAGTGAACAGTGATCAGCTTCCATAATTCCATTTTAGATTCTGAGCGGAGCGATAAATGTATTGATTTTACAATGATGTGTGTTTTTATTTTTATTTGTTTGTCAACAACTTTTCGGTTAGGAAAGTGAATCTAGTTGTTGCTTTCGAGAGATCACTTAAAATTCCCAATAGTTTTCAAAAGCAACAGAAAAAACAAACAAAATAATTAAGGAAAAACGGGAATTTTCACGCAAATCCATTTTTCGAAAAAATCGATTTTGGTTTTTAGTTTTTAGTGTAACTCTAACAAAAATGACAAAAGATATATGAAATTTTCACTAAATACTTGTGTAAGCATTTTCTATACACCATACAATTTTCAAAATATTTCGAATTGTGTTGATCTGTTTACAGGAATATTAAATTTTCGATTATTATTTGTTTTTTTTTTAAACTCAAGTTGATAAAAAAATTTGAAAATGTGTACAAGATTCCTTGTAAGTAGTTTTTAATGGAAATTTAAAAAAAAAGTTGAGCGGAAATCCACAATAATTTTTTATGAGCTTTTAAACTTAGAATTTTTGGTACTCGTCCAATATGCTATCTACCGTAAATATTTTATCTACTGTAATTTTATTATAGTTTAGTATGATATCTACCGCATGCCCGTATGCTGTATATTAATATATTATACATACTTTAATACTTTATCATTTTGCAATTACAATTTGAGATTAAGAGGACGTGATACCCGCATGTGTTGTGTCCGTCTTACAAGTGCGTAACATAGCAAATTTTACGCTCAGCAGAAAACGTGTAGCTCCGTTAGTTTAAAAATTAATGCGAATTGACCTCTTATAAACATTTGATGAATTGGTAAGCTATTTTTAATTAAATATATGTATGTACAAAACACATTTTTTTTTTGTGAGTTGATTTAAACAACTGTTTACTTTATTTTTATCTAGTAGTATCTATAACTAAATGAGGTTGGAATAATTAGTTTATATTAAAAAACTGTAATTTATATAATTAGCTAACACTTATCGGACCATACTTAAAAAAAGAAGACACTATTTTGCGTTCAGCCATTCCACCTGAAGAGAGGCTATCTGTTACATTAAGGTATACACTTTTATTCTAACATATTCTAGTTACAAATATTAATTTTATAAAGATAACAAAAACAAGTCACTTTAATTATTATATTTATTATGTCATATTTTATCATTATATTAACATAAATACATATAAATGTTGGTTACACTCATAGGCGTACAATGGTTACACTTCATGATTTATTCAAATCAAATAAATAAAATATACTTTTGCTTGTAAACTGTATGTTACTATGTTTATTGTTGTAATGAATGATAATATATACATTATTAATAAAATAGCCAGTAGGTATAACTTTTACCTTATTTCTTATTTTTATGAGAGACTTGTATTAAATATGTGAATTGCTGTGTTCTGGACTTAACATAATATTTATTAAATTAAATATGAATTTAATCATATAATATTAGGAAATTAATATTATGTACTGACGTACTGTTCAATAAACTAATTGAAAATAAATAATTATAATGATTGATAAGATGATGAATTATGACCTTGTGAGTATTCATGAGAAGATGCATTGTAGTTTTGAGGAGTAACATTTTGATTTTGAGTTATATGGTAATTGTAGGGTTGGAATGGAATATTAGGGGGGTAAGGTCTTGGTACTGCAGAATATTCATTAGTATATGATAGTTCCTTTGGAGCATCTTTAATGTTTTTGATGGAATTAATAATTTCAGAATACAATTGGAGTTTTTGATTGCTTGTTAGCTCTCTTATTTGTGGTAGTAATGATAAAAAGAAAGATTTGTCAGGATCTTCTACTTCAGGAGTTCTGTTTTTCAGAACATCCAGAAGTTTATTTTCAAAATTTGGTTCTTTATTT